GTATGAAGTTCAGTGACTTATCGAGACTATTTTTTAAGATGGCTCCTGTCTGTATACGCGACTTTGCACAAAGCAAACCTTCTTATCAACCTGTTGGACCAAGTTCATTACATGAACTAGTTCAAAGTTCAATTCACAAATTTTAAAATGAACTATTTCAGTTCATATTTCAAAAATGAACTAGTTCTTTTTTTTCCATATGTTGCTGCGGGTTTTTTTTTATTATTAGGCTATTATTATTGCCACAACCCATATACAACCACAGATAACAATCATTTTATCGACGGGCAAAGTTTGCACAGACATGTAAGATTTTCCCATCCTCACCGACCTCATAAAAGCCTTTTAAATGATCTTACGACGCCTCCTCGCTCCTCGATTCCAACGCGTTCTCATCCCAAAGCGCCATATAGGACGCTTTTGCAAAAGCGTAAATATCCAACGCACATGGCACCCTTTAACGTCTAATTAGACGCTTCGGTTAGGGTTAAGTTTAGGTAAGGTGTAGGGTAAGGGTTAGACCACTAGGGGGCGCCTTCTGCCCAAATATATCTGCGTCCCATTTCACGTTAAAGGGTGCCATGTGCGTTGGATATTTACGCTTTTGCAAAAGCGTCCTATATGGCGCTTTGGGATGAGAACGGGCTCTCGATTCACAGACACTAGAATGAACGAGTTCACTGTAACGTTCATCAGGCAGTAATACAGTAGGCTACGTTCAGTTCACGTTCGCCCAAAATATGAACGAGTTCATTAACTATCGTTCATTGAACGCGTTCAGACACATCACATAGCCTATTACAAGATCAAAATGATTATTCATTGTTTTAGAGCAGGGGTATCCAACACGTCGCTCGCGAGCTAGCTGTGGGCTGATTTGGTGGTGGTAGTTCGCTTGTTCACATATCGCGCTCACATATTTTGCACGCTCAAGTACGTTTCAAATGTAGGCGCGCATCAAGCGCCGAGCGCGCTCATAATTGAAGCGACGCGCTCATTTTTTCCAGGCGCAGTAGGCTATATTTGTACTTCGTGGTTGTCTATGACAACTATTGACAACAAACCCACGGTAAGCTGTCACGAGACTATATATGGTAGCCCATAAGGGATACAAATATTAATAATAAAAAAACGCGGCAAACGCAACGGCGGGCCGCACTAACATTAAACTTTAAAATCAAGTAGGGGGCCACAAAATATCATCCCGCGGGCCGCGAGTTTGAGACCTCTGCTTTAGTGTCATTGTTACATGTGTTACATGTTGTAACTATATAGTGTTATGATGCATATTTGCACGCAACTATCCCTAAACAAACCTCCATATATAATCATAACCCTATTGTTTGTCCATGCAGTTACCTTACTGTAATATTACAATGGTCATTCTTCATTTCAAATCTGTGAATGATATCTCAAAAAATTATGCATTTATGAAGCCCATATTGTTAGACCATTTCAGTGGAGACTTTGGAGATGTTAAGATAAGGCTTATCAAATATTACATTGCCCTGTTAACACCAATTTACAATCACAAAACAAACAAACAAAAAATATTGTCGGAATCTTATAGTGTGGAAAACTTATGAAACCAAATGACAGAGTATAACTGAACAAAAGAAAGGTTGTAATTTTGGAGCAATATAGCACAGTCTGCTGACAAAGAAAGGTAAATAACAGGCAATGGATCCTCCCACCATTACAAATATACATTGTGGCAGGATCAGTTAAATGTAAAAAAAAATAAAAAATAAAGAGTAAAGAAAAAAAAAGATCATTCAAATTACCTTTCGCAAACCAAGGATTTAGCACCTTAAAATGTACTGTTTGTAATATGCATTCTGTTGTCTAGCAGTCATACCTACAAATATCTTAAATAAAACATGAACTTGCATGTTATCAGGAAATATGTTGTTGAACATCTGTCATGTGACTGATAACTCATCAAAGGCTGAAGGCACGTAAAATATACGTACATTTTTTTAAGAGCCCTCCAAAAATAATGTCACTTCTAAAAGTTCTACCAATTTAGATGGTGCTTGGGAAAAAAAATTAGGCAGCATACACATGGATGGCCATCAGTGGGGAATCCTGCTTTTTTACAGTGTCAGTGTAAGGGGGAAATTACTGATACCTGTGTGCGTTCGAGAACACCCTGATTTCAAACACTTGAACAGCCACAAATATTGCTCTTAGATTTCTCAAAGAAATATATATTTTCATGCAGTGCAGGTTATTGAAATAGTGTGGTGAAACAAAAGCACATGAATATTCCCATAGGAGCCGTGACTCTCTCATAGTAAATTTCTCCATGTGTTCCTGCCCGATGCAGTAACATTTCTCATTACCGTTTAGATTTCCAGATATTTGGATGAATGAGTGACGCGAGTATAAGAGAGTGAATAACCTCCTGTGTGAGATAATAATTGATTCTTCACAACAATTTATCTAAGGCTACGGACATCACTCCACGCTGCGAGTCATATGACTCAAACCATTTGACATGAGAACATACAGTATTACTCAGAAAAGCACAAGACGCCTGCCAGGTCTGTCAGCAGAATATACTGTAAATGAAGTTAAACAACCCAAACATTTACAAGATTTAGTTATCATCTGATCATTTTTGTGTAGCATGGGAGAATGATCATCAACACATACTCATGTGAGAAGAGAGAGGTCCAAGAAAAGAAGCCAGAGGGAGCTATTGCAGACCCAAAATAAATCCAAACACAGACCTATTATTTCTAAATTTCTTAAAGGTTAGTCACAAGACTGAGCAACTGTGGGGAAACTGTGGGGAAACAAATATATTTAATGTTTAATCATCTGCCTATATAGGCATGCATATGATTGTGTTGTATATACTAATAGTGCTATTAATTCTTCTTTTGAATTGAGTTCATGTGATACACGTAAAATTGTGTTAAATTAGTTTGTGAAGGGATAATTCAGCTCCAAAAGGAAACTGGCATCATTTATACAGCCTGAAACACAAAAGAAGATATTTTTAAGAATGTTGGTATAGTTTTGGTTACCAATGACTTTCATCGAATAACAACACCAACAAAGCTCAGACATTTCTCAAAATATGTCATTTTATGTTCTACACACACACACACACACACGCATACACACAAAAAGTCATGCAGGTTTTGAATTACTTTATGGTCAGTAAATGATGACAGGATTTTCATTTTTGGGTGATCTAACTTTTTAAGCCCTTGTGTGCCTGATGCGAAGCAAAGGTCACTGAACCATGACTAATGTTTTAAGACAGTGGCTTGCAGTCTAGTTTCACGTGAGAGCTTAAAAAGCGGTGCTAATTCGCACCGCAAGACATTTACAAATTTAAAATTTAGCTATTCAGTTACAGTTCATGAGCAGATTTCAGAGTTAAATGTGGTGATACATGGGATCAGGAGTTTCAATTTCACCAGTCTGTCACCTTCATGATGCACAATCCTTGTATCAAACATCTATCTAGTAAAACAATGAATCATTGGTCTTCTTATATCTGAGCGCCTACTGTGTGGTTGCACTTAACCTATTGAATCTGATTAAATACACAAACGGTTCACAAAAAGTTCAAGCTTTGGGGTTTGATGGAAGTCACATAAATAATATAGGCTAAAAATGTCTATTTAGTGTCTTTGCATCATTGCTAAGTGGGTAACATTTTACAATAATAGTACATGAATAATCATGTACTAATACCTGAATTGATAATTACATGAACTAATGATGAGTTAAGACATGTACTTATGAGGAACTAACCTTAACTTGAGTGAATTCCTGAATATACCTTAACTACATGTTAGTACATGCTTGTTAATTAATGCATTAATTAACATTTCTGGGTAAACTAAATCAAACATGTTCTCAATCAGAAGAAAGATGTACTAAAAGGGCACAATGTAAAATTGTTCATAAATTTGACACCAACAACTGTCACAAACAAAATGACATAGTGAATGACACAAGATGTCTTGCAATGTTTACATTTAACCTTACTCACCGAACACACAATGATGCATTCACCATTAACAATTTAATCTCAATCTGTTTTAAGTGATTCCAATTAAGAGTGAAATATCTACACTAACATATTTATTGACAGATGAAATTTTCAAGCACAGCATGAACACATTATTTATGGCTATTTTGAGGATTGGTTTACTGTCTTTATATCATAGTGCAGTCGGATGTTAGTCATTTAGGGGTTTTGCTCTTCTTTTCGCCCACAAAATGTGTCCATTTTCTAGAGCAAGTTCTAGAGTAGCCTATACCTATTCAGGAATTCATATGACTCATGTCGTTAAGGTTAGTTCCTCATTAGTACATGTTAACTCATCATTAGTTCATAGTAAAGTAATTAATAATTCAGGTATTACATGATTATTCATGAACTATTATTGTAAAGTGTTACCATTAATGAGCTCTATGCACAACTGCACTACTTCCTGAACTTCAGCCAGCTCATTGTTTCCTGTCTGCCATTATTGGACAATTTGATTAATTCAGGTGTGCTTGACCTCAGTAGTCATGGCAACAAAAATCAGACACACCTGAATTAATCAATGTGTCCAATAATGCCAGACAGGAAACAAGACGCTGGCTGAAGTTTAGCAAGTAGTGGAGCTGTGCATAGAGCCCATTGCGTTCAATGGGAAAGGGGATATTGCATTTTGAAAAGAAGAAATATAAATACTCCACTCAACTATTTTTTTTTTAAATTATGATTATTATTTTCAGAAATAGCCAAATATTTCTTGCATTTCATTTATGGTTAATTTTGAGAAGGCAAATACTCTATTTCCTATCTGGGGCAGGTTGTCAAAAGAAAGCTGTAGTGTCCACAGACGCATTGAAGGGCCAGTTAATTTGAACAAAGAGTTAAATCACGCGGGTTGTTAACATGTGACAATGTCAGTCTTACAATTTGACCTTTTAAAATGGTGGGAAATACTTGCAGGCGGAACTTCATTTGACAGCAAGCAGTTTGGTTAAACGTCATATACTCTTCCTCGTCTCTCTTAAATGAGCATCATTATTCAGCAAGTCTTCTTTCCCGAAATAATCTGCATTGGGATGCCGGTGGTATAAAGCTTTTTAGGGAAAAACAATACCCGCTGTCATTCGGGTTTTAATCAGAGGGTCGCTTTCTTTTGTGCTCATATGGCAGAGGAGGTTTTGATAGATCCAAATGGGAAATCTAGAGGGGTAAGTAGCCTAGTCCTACTTTGCATCTTAAACTATTATTATAATAATACATGCAGAACAAAATTAACAAAAGCTGTGGCTTTAATTTCTGACGCGACGTTGAAGCAACGCAAGAGTTATGAGAGAGAGAGAGAGAGAGAGAGAGAGAGAGAGAGAGAGAGAGAGAGAGAGAGAGAGAGAGAGAGCGCATTCAACGATAAAACATGTTTTCTCTAGATTAAAAGGCTCTCTCATGCCATGAGACATCTGTGGAATTCCTTCGCATTGACATGGAGAAATTGGCAATAGCTAAAGAAATATTATTTTGTACGCGTGATTGTTTGCAAAGCCTTTATGTAGCTACCTGCAATGTATTCTCTATAAAAGCTATCTAATATGGGAAGTGCATATTGCCTGTTTTTATAGCATTTCTCCAATTTAAAAAATATAGGCTATTTATTGTCTTAGTTTGACAGATTACATATTCTAACTTTAGAATTAGAAACTTTAGAAATTTAGATTTACTCAGGCGTCCATTGAATCTAATGACTAGGCTATTATTCAGATAACGCTAAAGGCAAAGTTAATAAACGCTTTTTATATTCTTCTGTATCTTAGAGCTAATGATATCCAATTTCGTTGGCATACTGTTACCTCTACTAACACTGCTACTCTTTCTCGTTAAATAACCCCCCCCACACACACACACACACACACACACACAAAAAGTATTTTTTATTTTTTTTTGCTAAAAATTGCTAGCCAATCAGAATGACTCATGCAACTTTGTGCTTTCACACTTTTGTAAAGGAAGCCCAACTTTAGAAAGTTTCTTTAGAGATTAGATTAATTTATGGTTCTTATAAATTAATTTAAATGCAGTGGTCCATTTATTTGGCATTTGTCTCATCCAATAAACAAAATCTTATGCATGCTGCATAGTTAAGATTATAGTAAATGCTCCCAAGTATTTTAGCGAGGTGCAAGCTCTCTAGGAATTGACCAAAATGGCTGCAAGAAAGGTAAGTGACACATCTTGTCATTCAGGAAAAACTGTTTATCACTGTAGTCGTAAATGTAGATTTTTGTAAGCAGAACCCACAGCCCTACCCCAAACAGTAACTCTAAATCATAAAGATTTGTTTATAATGGGCTTTCACATTGGCAGTTTAGTCAAAACTGAGCATGCATGGTTTGCATGAAAAATTGGTAATGTGAAAGCTGTCATGTGGACCTGGACACAGTATACAACTATATTTCCCATTCATTTTCTGTGAAGGGATTCAAAATACTTCAAATTCTCCAAACCAAACTCAGAGATTAATCACAACACTACAACTTTTTTAAGCAAAAATATGACAACAAAAGTATAAGGCTGTCTCCTGTAGGCACCTCTTTATGTGAAAATGACTCATGCCAACCAAAATCCTAACTTTTTAAAAGGTACCTTTTTAATGGAGTTATTGGAATGAATTATGTAAACATATTATAAATGTCTATAAGAAACTATTGACTTATAGTCACTGTTTGCTGTGAAATCTATTCAAAATGTGAAAGGTTTATACTGTTATGGCTCAATCTATGCGCTGAAACACTTTTTTTTTTAAATCCAGAACTCTACTGCATCTTGTGAACATCTTGTGCCACGATGCAAAAAAAAAGCTCTCTTACTAATAACCCTGTTATCTTTTGGGGCCCTGTGACAAGGTCCCACCCATAACGTTTTGAGTAAATGTAACCTCATCCTGGCCTGGTTTGTTGTTACACTATTACAGCTCATGAAAAAATTTGGAAACAATTAGTTGCTTTTTAAAAATATTTCTCTGAATGTCAGTCTCCAACAATACATTACTAATTTATTTTATAATACAATTAGTCGTTCCTACTACCACTATAAGTCAGAACAAAGATGGTTTGTAAAATATAACAAAGGAACTTCTGTTTATTTCTATTTTTGCACTATTTATTCACGGGCGACGTCTCATTAATGACAACCTTCATGCTTTCAGTTTTCCAGTTCTTCCATCTCCTGCAGCTGAGAATTTTCTCCACTTAACTGCTTTCACACTTTTAGCAGGTTGTGATAGTGTTGAGAATTTTGTTCATGTGCAGGATAATTATTGTAACTCAGTTTGCCTGGGCAGTGAACACCCATGCCAGATCTAGTCATAGTCCACTTTCACGCTTACACAGTCACATGTTAATTGGATCAGCGCCAGAATCCAACACTTCAGACTCGGTGTGCTGATTTTAAAAAAAGTTAACACGTTTATGCTTAAACTGTGATTTTGTACTCGAGATAGAAAATTCTTACTTCATTGTTCCATGTTTGTTGCAGTGTGCATTGAAATGCAAATATTTCTGTAATCTACTCATGATGCCTATCAGCATTGAACTCTAAAAGCTGCTTATAGGGAGAATGTGTGATTAAAGAAAGGTCTGTTCATTTTCATATAGTTTCATATCCTTACCAAAACAGCCTTCTTTGTAAAAAAAAATGTGTTAGAAACATATAATGTGCTTAATCTACCAGCCAGACATCATCTGAAAAGTTCAAATCCCAAAACTAAGGAATGTTATTAAAAACTGTTGTCTGTCACATGTTTCTCTATAGCATCTAACCCCATCCCTGTTGGCAGTGGCGTTCCTCTCTTCCTTTGGGAGCTCCATGCTCTATGGTTATAACCTGGCTGTGGTTAATTCTCCTGCTCAGGTGACTGACACCAACAAACACAAGTTTTCACATAGCCTCACAATAACACTAACTGCTTTTTTATGCAGCTGGATTGAATCACTTGCTTGCAGAAACACTGAATCACAATTTCTTTTCTTCTAATGTTGATTGAGGGCTTTTTAATATTATGCTCTTAAAATGTGCCCTCTGACATAACATTTAATTGGAATGAAGGTGCTAAATAATAGCCTATGAAATAATTAAATCTTCATTACAGTGAAGGCTTGAAATGGTACATACTGTACCTTTGCCAACAAGTCACGAGTCCTGACTAGAAGTATATGAGAGCGTGATCGTATTGAAAGCTTGTGTAACTGCAGCTTGTGAAAGAATAATGGAGAAGCTAAAAATGTATGCCATAAATCCATGCTCATTTAGATTAAATAAATATGACAATGGCAAAAAAGGGTACACAAAAAAGGAAATTAATAAAAAGACAAATATATATAAAAATAGACTGAATTTTTCTCTACAGTGATTATATTCATCTATGCCTGTCTGCACTGTGTAATTTTGACTTGCTATTTTGATTTGCTATCATTCTTTACATTATCATTCAATTACATAATACTAGAGGCCCATTTTATTAAAATTTGCAAACAACTGAAATTTTTTTTTAAATTAAGTGTGTGAAATAAGTTAGAATAAATCATTTAGGTAACTGAATCTCACACGCTGCCTATCATATATTATAATAGTGTAAGCGTTAATGGTAATGCACAGACAAGGTATTAGAAATGTATATTAATTAAGATATTTTCTTTGTATTTGCTCTTCTCATAGTATATAAAGGACTTTTTTAACCAAACCATTGTCAGGCGTAATGGGTCAGGACTGGATGAAGAGACTCTCACGCTTATGTATTCAGTCACTGTGTCTATATTTGCCATTGGAGGCCTGGTTGGCTCTCTCACAGTGGGAATGCAGGTTACCAGATTTGGGAGGTAGAGTCTGCGGTTTATACATAAATTGACACGTAATACATTAGACTAAATACAGGCTGCTTGAATGATTTTCTTAATTTGTAGGAAAGGGACACTGGTACACAGCACAGTTCTGGTGTTCATTGCTGGAGGGCTGATGGGTTTCAGCCGATTATGTGGATCTCCAGAGATGATCATCATTGGGCGCTTCATTACAGGGATACATTCAGGTAATGCATTTCATTTAAGCATTTCATACATAAAAATTCTGTCATCATTTACCCTCATGCCAATTCCAAATCTATTTGAATTTCTTTTTTTTTGTGAGTGGAATTTTTCATTTTTAACTAAATGTAGTCACCAAAATGGTTAACATTATTAAGGACGTAATCAGGCCTAGGGTGCGATATCATCTCGAGAGCTGATCGAGGGTGCTCAGCTCCCAAACAAAGAACACAAGAAAATCTTGCATCCATCTTCCCCAGGAATAGATCGGGGGGGACAGCGAGATATCTCCTAAACTTCTTTTTCAACACCTGCTCTGACAACCCGGTCTCATCCCAAGACGTCATATAACTGACGTTTTGGGACGTCTTTTGACCATACGTCAATATTCGCCTTTTTAGGGCCCCCTTAAACGTCGGTAGATGAGGTTATGGGATCCAAACTCTACCCCATACCTAAACCTAACCCTAAACCTAACCCGTCACCTAACTGACCTTAAAGGTAAAGCGTCAGTTGTATGACGGCCCGGGATCGCCATCTACCGACGTTTAAGGGGGCCCTAAAAAGGCGGATATTGACGTATGGTCAAAATACGTCCCAAAACGTCAGTTATATGACTTTTTGGGATGAGACTGTGTTAGCTCTGAACAGACAGTGACTACGTTTACATGCAGCCAATAACCCGTTCAAAACCGGGATATTAGCAATAACCCGGTCGCGAACGGCCATGTAAACACCGGCAAAAACCCGAATATGCTCATATCCCGGATTTTCAAAACCGGGATAGCTATTTTGCCCCGAATTATCCCTGAATTTTTGGTCATGTAAACGTGTATCGGCATATCCCCATAGTGATTTGTGTTCTGTGCATGTTTTATTCATAAGAAATCTTGGTCTTTTGAGTAGAGAAACTTCTCGGCGCATACAAAAGTCCGCGTGCAGTATACCGGAAGTAAACATGGCGAGTCCAGGCTAGACACAGCACAGTATACTTTTGGAGCAAGCTCAGTAACGTTACCAGCATCAAAGCGCAAACAAAGGCGATCGCTATTTGCTAACTATTCATTATCCGCGTGCTGTTGTTGTTGTTGTTGTCTTTGGATACAGGAAGAACAATCGGAAATGACGCATATTGCGTCTTAAGGTTGTCCGTACGTCTAGACGCTAACCGCGCGTCGCTGTTTACATCGGGATATTGCAATTCCATGTATACAGGAGAAACTCTCTCTGCTCACGCATGTAAACGGGTTATTCCTAATGTTTCAGAAACCCGAATAGTGACCTTAACCCGACCATAACCCGAAAATTGGCTGCATGTAAACGTAGTGTTTTGCATATAAAGTAACAGACAAAGCGGCTTCCGAAGGCAAGAAGCTGGTGACACTTTTGCGCAGGTGTTACGAACGGCATTGCGTCACCTGACTTCGTCCTTGGCCAATGGCTTGGCGTGTACTACACGTCACATGTCATTACACACAGACTCTGGCTCATGCTGAAGACATTTGCATAGCGTCAACACCATGACGCAGTGTCTCTGTTCCCCTGGAAAGGAAACCTCTGACCTTCGTAAAAATGTACACTTGACTCTGTCTAGGATTTGAATTTTCTCCTTCGATTTCTATGGTGTTACGCTGCAGGCAGGAATGAAGCGGAGAATGGATCCAAATGCAAGCACTTTTAATAATAACAAAACAAACAGGCAATCCAGGGAAAAACCAAGAACAGGAACTTAGAAACAGAAAACATTTAAACAATGACCAACAACCAACAACTGAAGCACAGAGGTTTAAATACACAGACAAACAAGCTAAACAAGGGAACAAGGGGGCGTGGTAAATCAGAAACACCTGGGGGAACTAATCAACAAGAAAAACTACAAAGGACTACAAAACATGGCACGGAACAGGAAATAACTAAAGTCCACACAAGACTAGGAAAACACAAGACAGGAATTGTGACATATAGGGCCATCAGTAATTTTCATCTTTTGTATTTTTCTGCTGTGCTGCTGTAGGAATATCTCTCAGCGTTGTGCCAATGTATCTAGGAGAAATTGCTCCAAAGAATCTCCGGGGCTTCCTAGGGCTCGTGCCCAGCATCTTCATTTGTATAGGAGTGTTTATCGCTCAGATTTTAGGACTCCATGAGATCTTGGGCAAGGTTGTTCCTCTCAATTTCATTTTATAGCATTTGATTTTCTTTCTCTGTTATGAATATTTCAGATATATTGATCGATATATTTTTAACTTGTGTTGTACCAGCATGTTTTGTCATGTTAAACAGAGCTGTTGGTTGTTCCACACAGGAAGAGCACTGGCCTCTGTTTCTCTCCCTAGTCGTGGTGCCTACATTCATTCAGCTCATGTTGTTGCCGTGGTTTCCAGAGAGTCCGAGATATCTGTTGATTGAAAAGCGAAACATTCATGCCACTATCAAAGGTAAAAGCTTTTCCCACTTTGAGAAACAGTTCACCCAAATATCTAAATCATGGCTGCAGCCGGAATAGCATACTTCCCTACTGTTTAGTAGCTGAAAAAGACTAGCATGTCTGAATTCACAGTATTCATAAAACAGTAGGCAAAATGACTTCTGCAGCTTCTGTCGAGATTCTGAAGTGTGCAAACGATGGACACTTTACTATCCCATGAGGCAATTAGAGAGGATTTGTGAATGACAGTGAAGTGAGACAATTGACGCTGGTCACATGACAATGACAATATGAGGGATGTTGTACTGTACATCCGGATTACATTCATGTTACACACATTCATACTATATACAGTAGAATTGTCACAAAGTAACTACTAATTCAAGAGAAGTGTCAGAAAATATGCAATTTCGAATTTCGGATGTTGTTTCAAATCTATATTACTTTCTTTCTTCTGAAACACAAAAGGTGATTTTTTTTTTTTTAGAATATAATGAAGATTATCAGTGAATAACCAAATTTCATCTCACAGAAAGCTATTTTCTAAATTCAGAAGATTTATACAGCACATAAGTTGCCTGGACGAGTTTGATGATACCTTTTGTGCTTTTGTATCTGTGCCCATTCATTATTATTGCATGGAAAACACTGACCACTGCATCCTCTGTTGTGTCAAGTTTGAAACTAAAAATTACTTAAAATTGTCCGTAAAAAGATTTTAGAATTCTAGAAATTATTCTAAATGTTTCCTCTCACTTCACTGCATTAAAGCTGATTGAATTGTGTTAGAGGGATTAGTGGCCAGGAGGAGACTCTCATAAGGTTATACTTATTGTCCTGTAATCTCTTCAGATAATGGCGCCGTTACAAAGGCCCATCAGACAGCAGATACCAGGTGGAGAATTTACTGACAGCAAAGAATGTGACAGGATTAGAGAAGAGTAGAAGACATTTCCATTCAGAATTATGGTATATTTGCACATGATTTAAGGGGATGATTTTGATAACGTCATCATGAAACGATGTAGCTCATAATGTTATGAGGCTTAACATCATGTTGAGTTCCTAATTGAAGCACATCTTAAGATGCTGAAAAATCCAGCTTAAACCAGCATTGATTCCATGCTGGTCCTGGCTGGTTTATGTGGGTATGGTGCTGGTGGACCAGCAGATTCATGCTGTTTTCCATAGACATATACACTAGACCTCACCTTGGCTACGGCAGTTCATTGGAACGAATGCGTCAATAGAGCCGCCATCTTGAAACAGGGGAGCCCCTCCACTTTAATGCATCTGCGTCAAGTAGACACAGGTCTTAAATAAAATCACCATAAATCATCATGAATGCGATTTTTCTTGTTTTTTTTTTTTGGTTTGTTCCAACGGTCAAACATGTATTTATCATTGATTACAGAAAGAAATTTTTTTTATTTATTTTTTTAAAAACATTCTTCCTAGTTCAGATTTCATCCGTGAACATCATACGCTGCACAAAAGTCCGCCACCATCAATGAATTCGAAGTTAAAGCAGAGATAGCAGCGTTACCTAGCTACTTCCTATGACAAGACCCCTGTTCCAAGATGGCGGCGGTTTTGACGCATGCTTAGAACCCCAAGGTGAGGTCTAGTGTATATGTCTATGGCTGTTTTCAAGCAAAACGGAGTTGGTGTAGCTGGTTCACAGCATGGTCTTGCAAAATAGCATTTTCTGCCTGTCCCAACTCTTCATCTTTAAGCTTTACCATGAAATATTATGATTAAAATCCTTCAGAAATCCTTGTTGTGTGACTTTATATCCTGCTTTAAAATGAAAAAAGAAAAAAGACATTTAATCTAATATTTTAGATAAAATACACATTTTAGTCTTGTCCCCGGGTTTTCACTCATTACGTCCCCCCTCTGAAAAAACGTAGAATATTCCACAAGACACATTTTCAACAGTGAGTTGCATCATCTGATCTTCTGAAGGCAATGGGGTGACTATAAGTCACTCCTCTCATTTTCATTTCTGTATATTTTATGAAATTGTAACTATGAATGAGAAGGTCAATCTCAAAATACAGTCCTGTTACCTAAACTTTTTCTTAGATTTTTTTTTTTTTTTTTTTTAATTATTAACTTTTGGTAACTTTTTGCATAAAAAACTCAGTCCTGTTACTTTCAGTCCTGTTACTATTTTTTTCTTTTTCTAAAAAAAATAAAATTAAACCACTATTTTTTATCAGTTTTGTTTGGCCCATAATTTATACAATTGAAGAGTTCAGATGCAAAAGCCTCTAAATGCCATTTGAAATTTTCTTCTTTAATGACGATTTTTATCAAGCTTGTATATTTAAGTTCAGTGATTTCACTTAAATGGCAATGATAATTACCTATTAATTGTTATTTAAGTGAAATTACTGAACTTAAATATACAAGTTTGATAAAAATCGTCATTAAAGAAGAAAATTTCAAATGGCATTTAGAGGCTTTTGCATCTGAACTCTTCAATTATTGAATTAATTAATTCTAAAAAAAATCAAGTTCTTTAAAATAATCACTTTCTTGTGGGGGAAACAAAGGAATTAATTGACATGCTTCTAAACTTGCTTTTTAAATGACACATGATTTTCGGTAACAGGATTGAGAAAACATGCGCCCATATTCTGCTTAAACCTTGTAAAAAATAAATAAAGTTGCCTTAGATTGAGCAATACACATTTTGAATAGTTAAATATGTGTAGTATTAGATTCAATGTTGAAAAAAAAAAAATAAAGTTTATTTTTGAAGAGTTACAACAAGCAAATGTCACCCATTCGGTAGAATGGCCCATTTGAAACACCACATAATGTATTAACAACATGAAACACTTGATTTTCACCACAGGGGGACTTTAAGCATACTTCTTTTTCACATGCGAATGCTTTAGTCCAAAATGATCAGTTGTATTCTGCTGTTCTGATTCACTGTTGTTCTGACATGATCTGATGAGCCAAAACTCCTATATAATGACACACTCACATCCTGATTCCTCTTTGCAGCACTGAAGTGGTACCGTACCAAGTCTAACATCCAGGCTGAAGTAGAGGAGATGCAGGAAGAGCAGCGCTCTTTATCCTCAATGGACACTCTCTCAGTATTGCAGCTCATCAGGGATCCCACTGTTCGCTGGCAGCTTGTTACAGTCATTGTGGTCAATGCTGGGATGCAGCTGTCGGGAATCGATGCGGTGTGTTTTTAACAGTGGTACTGGGGATGACAATTACCATAAATTGGCAATGACATTATTTGAGATAATAAAATGGAACACCTGGTTTCTATTTCCAGATCTGGTTTTACACCAATACTATCTTTGAGAATGCTGGCATTCCTGCTCCTCAGATTCAGTACACAACCGTTGGCACTGGAGCCATAGAGGTCATCGCTGGACTCATAGGGGTGAGAACATGTCAGAACTGACATCAAAGGCATACCGATACCGTAATTATTAGGAAACCATGTTACATTGTTTTTTGCATTTGTGATTGTTCTGTACATACCTTAGGTTCAAATTTAACCTTTGATACTGGGTCCTAAGTAACACGGAGTAATTCATAATCGGATTATTCTTTGAATGTTGTCCAGTGCTTTACTATAGAGCGTGTGGGTAGGAGGCCTCTGATGATTGGTGGCTTCAGCTTTATGGGCTTGTGCTGTGCGGGAATCACTTTCTCCCTCATGTTACAGGTAATTATCATCACCAATATTTACTTGCTCGGCTCTATGACCTCAAGAATTTTGGCACTTAGGGATGTCAAACAATTAATCACATCCAAAATAAAAGTTTGTGTTTACATAATATATGTGGGTGCACTGTGTATAATTATTTTATATATATAAATACACACACATTGTATATATTTAAGAAATATTTTCATGTATATATTGTATATAGATTTATATATAATTTATATTATATATAAGTATAAATATTTTATATATAAATAATATTTTTTTCTTAAATATACATGCATGTGTGTGTATTTATATATATATATATATACAAAATAATTTTACACAATGCACCCACATATATTATGTAAACACAAACTTTTATTTTGGATGCGATTAATCACGATTAATCGTTTGACAGCCCTAATTATTAGATATTAATTATAACTAATTGTATCTTAAAGGTACTTTCAGAAAATGTCAAAGTCTAGCGAGATTTATCTTGTAAAAACCACTTAAATAGTAAAACCTGAAATCACCTACATTGTGGGGATCAGTCAGCGGTCCCCATGAGGGAAATGGATTGATTAATTAACATAGTAAATTATGGGGTTTTCTTTTTTGAAAATGTACAAATGCAGAAATTGTTTTGTGATGGGTAGATTTAGGGATAGGGTTAGTGTAAAGGGATAGAATATACAGTTTGTACAGTATAAAAACCATTACGCCTATGGAGAGTCCCCACAAAGATAGCAAAACCGTGAGTGTGTGTCTGTGAGTATAAACATTTATATTGATATGTAGCATTTATATGATCGAAAAAAACAAAACAATACAAGCAGAAATAGTGAAATTGGTGCGACTGCTCCAAGACATGCAGGTGGATGTAATTACACTATGATTCCAGGCAAAGGTTTATGGGAAATGTAGATCATGATGGAAATGCAAAGAACATGGGAGGAGTGCCCTCTGGTGGTCATAATAGGCGGGTGAATATATTTCAAAATGTAATTTGTTCCTGTGACGGCAAAGCTCATTACTCGGCCATTGCAGTCTTTAGTTTCACATGATCATTCAGAATATAATTCTAAAATGCCGATTTGTAACATTTCTTGTTTTGTCGATGTTGACCAATGAAATCAGTTGAGCTGCTTAATATTATTGTGAAAAACCACGAGGGAAACAGCATTTAGTTGACATAATTATTTAGTAATAATTGAAGTCTTTATTACTGACCTCAGACTTTTGAATTTCTTTTTTTTTTCTTTTATATATATTGATCTCCTGTACTTTTGTCTTTTGTTAGGCTCATTTACCCTTTATGCGGTACATCAGTGTGGCCTGTGTGGTTGGAATCATCGCTGGATTCTGCATTGGGCCTGGTGAGGATCTCACTGAACAGGAATTTCTCTTTTTCTCATTTTCATGCCTTCATGTACATCTTACTCTTAAAGGTTGCCCTTTAATTTTTTTTAGATCTAGCAAAATGAACTCTGTCAGACATGGTTTAATGCACTTTGCTTGTAAATAGATGGTATTGTTATTTACTGCTGCAGCTAATTATACATATTCTAAAATGAAGCCAAGGTTTGCTATGATCATGATAGACTATAATGTCACCTGCAGGTGAAGGAGTATATTTGTATTTTGTTTGCAAAAGAAGATGTTGAGTCATGTACTATGTAACTCATCATAGTTGTGTTGCTTTTTAAATGTTTTATCTTATTAATATGACTTTGATGCTACTATGTTTGCTCCTGCACAGCTGGTGTCCCATTCCTCATGACAGGAGAGCTCTTTAAACAATCCCATCGACCTTCTGCCTACATTGTTGGAGGATTTCTCAACTGGATATCAAACTTCACTGTTGGATTTGTCTTTCCTTTCCTTCAGGTACGTCTTTTCTTTAGGGAGCTCGCTGTATATTGCGGACAGAATGCAGTTCACAATGTATTTATTTGCAAATGATGTTGTCAGCATGCTAATTTGAGAGACATTTCCAGGTTAAAATGATAGATTTGAATCCCAGATTTGAATTGTATTTCAGATGTCAGCTGGAGCGTACTGTTACCTGGTGTTCTGTGGTGTGTGTGTGGGGGTGGCAGCCTACGTCTACTTCATCATTCCTGAAACAAAGAACAAAACCTTTGTGGAGATCAGTGAGATGTTCGCCTCAAGAAACGCTTGTGAAATTGAAAACCAGCCGCTGGGAACCACTGACCAACTCAGGCTCAAAAAGATGAATGGGTATGGATCACTGGTGTCCGATGTGGAAAAAATGGACAGGATAGAGAAATAGTTGTGAAAAAAGAGGGCCGTATGCTGTGTTCTGGTGCTACAAAACACTGTTCCGAGTGCTGTGAGAATGCGATGTTTTCATTTAAGAATTATTATGTGGAGTATTTACTGCAGGTATTTTGAAAGCCATACAGTAGGTTGTGTGATGATCAGAAAAACTTCCCACGTCTATCTGACATAAATTGAGCCTCAAGGGAAATCAACATCAGACATTGTTGCCTGACTGTGTCAAAACTGCATATTAGATGCATCCATTTGACAGTTTGTTTGAAGATGTCATCAATTTATTGAACGCTACAAAATTTGAACTGCCTCTGAGCTTCATCACACAAAGCTATTGTATACCTTGTGAAGAGCAAAAGTCATATGGACTACATATGGAAAAGTTTGGGATTGGACTTTTTTTTTCTTAAGCTGCATTTATTTATTTATTCAAAATACGGTATATTGTAAAATATTATTACAATTTAAAATAACTGTTTTCTATTTTAATATATTTTAAAATGTGACTTCTTCCTGTGATGAATTTACAGCAGCCATTACTCTAGTCTTCAGTGTCACGTGATCCTTTTGAAATCATTCCAGTATGCTGATTTATATTCCTTAATAATAAACATTTCTTATTGTTAATGTTGAAAACAGTTGTGCTGCTTAATGTTTTTATGTAAAGGTTTTGCTGTCACTTTTGATTAGTTAAAGGGATAGTTCACTTTGAAATTCATTTTTGATATGTTTTATTTTACCTCAGGGGCATCCAAGATGTAGGTGTGTTTGTTTCCACAGTAGTTTCAATTTTGATGTTTTTAGGTCAAACCGTCCTTGTCTGTCAGTCAATCTATCTATAATGCAGGCATATGGGGTCCACCTCAAAGAGCATGCACAGAGAAGTCCAAATTAAACATGATTTAATGACTCATTGATGGCCTAAGACACGAAACAAGCGTTTTGTGTGTGAAAACGAACAGTATTTATGTCGTTTTTACCTCTTGTAATCACAATCACGTCCAAGTACTCTGAGAGCATAGACCTCCATTATATGACTGACAGACAAGAATGGTTTGACCAAAAAATATCAAAATTGAAAATACTGTGGAAACAAAGACACCTACATCTTGGATGCCTTTGAGGTAAGCTAAAACATATCAAAAATGAATTTCAAAGTGAACTATCCCCTGAATGCATCCTTGCTGAATGAAAGTATTAATTTATTTCCAACCAAAAAAACAAAACAAAAAAAAAAACTTTTGAATGACAGTGTACCTCTATGAAGTTTTTTTTTGGGTGTGACGGCCCATAGTCACCGTGAACCTTTTTGGTATAGTAAAGAATAATTTATGATTTGTGATGATACTAATTTTATGGAAAAATTAACAACATATGGGTTCTGATTCCACATAACTTTCCTCAGGCTGCATTGCAGGGAACTGTTTCTGTATTGCAAGTCTCTTTGGAAAAGAGCACATGAGCTAAATTACAAATAACCAAAGAACTTGTAAAGTGCTTCTTATTTGGTTTGTATATTTAAAGATAAAGAGTATTTCTTTTCGTCCTGTCTGTTGAAATCTGTGACCAGGCAGTTACAACATGTCTAAAAGTTTTAAAACTGAAAGTGTAACTGAAAGCTAAAAGTTTTAATATTATTACCACTGTCCATTCAGTAGTTTTTAATCGCAGCCTTATTAAAGTTAATGTTGTGGTCATGACCAAGAACAGGCAGGACAGTGGACAGATGAAAAGGTTTATTTTATTCAAAAAAAAAAAAAAGAAAAAAATATACAAGATCAGATGTAGCGAATATTATTTCCAAACAAAGTCCATACAAAAATCAAAGACTTGAGATGGATGTTAACTGAAAGTATAAATTAAACAGGCCCAAATAACAAAGTAACAAACACTGTGATCAGCAGGTCATGATGTAACTGTGGCTGAAAAATCCTCTGCTCTTCCCAGCACTGCTGTAAATACATGTTTAGTGTGATGCCGGTGCCGTGATGTGGCAGAAACACAGGAAGGAGGCTGGATCCAAACGCAGTGTATAGGCTTTATTTAGACAAACTACATACTTTAACAAAGACTCAGGAACAGGGCTCAGGAACAGGGCTCAGGAACAGGAGTGACTCACATCGACCTCACACGTACAACAACTCACAAACTAAGACATAAACACAGGGCTTAAATAATGAGACAAGCAAACTTAACAAGGTAACAAGGGGGCGTGGACAATAGGAAACACCTGGAAAACTCAATAGACAGGGAACCACTAATAATACAAAGACAAAGACAAAACCACATCATGACAGAGCCCCTCCCCTATGGGCGGCTCCTGACGCCCATAAAGACACCAAAAAGTTCAGGTGGGCGGTGAAGCGAAGTCGGTCTGGGGGAGGGACGGAGGGCCAGGCCCGTGCAGGGGAACGGGACCAGGAGGTAGCCAAGACGAGCCTGGGCCGCAGAGCGTGGGCGGAGCGGGACGAGGCGAAGGCCAAGGCGGAGCAGGACCAGGCGAAGGCCAGGGCGGAGCAGGACCAGGCGAAGGCCAGGGCGGAGCAGGACCAGGCGAAGGCCAGGGCGGAGCAGGACCAGGCGAAGGCCAGGGCGGAGCAGGACCAGGCGAAGGCCAGGGCGGAGCAGGCTGTGGACGTGACCAGGGCGGAACTGTGGAACCCTCGGGCATCCACAACAGTGAAGGTCCCTCAGACGGCCACGGCGGTGAAGACCTTTCGGGCGGCCACGGCGTTGAAGACCCCTCGGGCGGCCACGGCGGTGAAGACCCCTCGGGCGGCCACGGCGGTGAAGACCCCTCGGGCGGCCACGGCGGTGAAGACCCCTCGGGCGGCCACGGCGGTGAAGACCCCTCGGGCGGCCACGGCGGAGAAGACCCCTCGGGTGGCCACGGCGGAGACCTACTGCCCCCCCCCAAAATTTTCTTGGGGGTAGCTACGGGGACATAGGCTGGAGCAAGCACCGGCTCAGAAACAGTCTCCAGCTGGACGTGGCTGACGTGCAGCGCCGGCTCTGGAAGCTCTGCTGAGACGTGACGAGGCTCTGGAAGCTCTGCTGAGACGTGACGAGGCTCTGGAAGCTCCGCTGAGACGTGACGAGGCTCTGGAAGCTCCGCTGAGACGTGACGAGGCTCTGGAAGCTCTGCTGAGACGTGACGAGGCTCTGGAAGCTCCGCTGAGACGTGACGAGGCTCTGGAAGCTCCGCTGAGACGTGACGAGGCTCTGGAAGCTCCGCTGAGACGTGACGAGGCTCTGGAAGCTCCGCTGAGACGTGACGAGGCTCTGGAAGCTCCGCTGAGACGTGACGAGGCTCTGGAAGCTCCGCTGAGACGTGACGAGGCTCTGGAAGCTCCGCTGAGACGTGACGAGGCTCTGGAAGCTCCGCTGAGACGTGACGAGGCTCTGGAAGCTCCGCTGAGACGTGACGAGGCTCTGGAAGCTCTGCTGAGACGTGACGAGGCTCTGGAAGCTCTGCTGAGACGTGGAACAGCGGTGCGGGCTCAGCGGGCATGATGGTCGTGATAACATCCCTCTCTACCTCTCCAACAGTGAAGGGAGATCCACAAAACCGCAGGACAAAATCAATGAACTGCTCCAGGGTCCAACTGGGGTCCTCCTCTGGTAAATTTAAACCAATGTCTAGATCCAGTCCACTCCAGAAACAGTCCTTCAATGCATCTTCTCCATCCGGAACGAGATGGCTATACAAAAGGAATTCCTCCACATAATCCTCGATGCAGCGATTATTCTGATAAAGAGAGCAAAGTTTGCTCAGTGAGCTCTGGCTACTACCTGCTGGATCCATGTTTAGGTGAGTTGTTCTGTGATGCCGGTGCCGTGATGTGGCAGAAACACAGGAAGGAGGCTGGATCCAAACGCAGTGTATAGGCTTTATTTAGACAAACTACATACTTTAACAAAGACTCAGGAACAGGGCTCAGGAACAGGGCTCAGGAACAGGAGTGACTCACATCGACCTCACACGTACAACAACTCACAAACTAAGACATAAACACAGGGCTTAAATAATGAGACAAGCAAACTTAACAAGGTAACAAGGGGGCGTGGACAATAGGAAACACCTGGAAAACTCAATAGACAGGGAACCACTAATAATACAAAGACAAAGACAAAACCACATCATGACAGAGCCCCTCCCCTATGGGCGGCTCCTGACGCCCATAAAGACACCAAAAAGTTCAGGTGGGCGGTGAAGCGAAGTCGGTCTGGGGGAGGGACGGAGGGCCAGGCCCGTGCAGGGGAACGGGACCAGGAGGTAGCCAAGACGAGCCTGGGCCGCAGAGCGTGGGCGGAGCGGGACGAGGCGAAGGCCAAGGCGGAGCAGGACCAGGCGAAGGCCAGGGCGGAGCAGGACCAGGCGAAGGCCAGGGCGGAGCAGGACCAGGCGAAGGCCAGGGCGGAGCAGGACCAGGCGAAGGCCAGGGCGGAGCAGGACCAGGCGAAGGCCAGGGCGGAGCAGGCTGTGGACGTGACCAGGGCGGAACTGTGGAACCCTCGGGCATCCACAACAGTGAAGGTCCCTCAGACAGCCACGGCGGTGAAGACCTTTCGGGCGGCCACGGCGTTGAAGACCCCTCGGGCGGCCACGGCGGTGAAGACCCCTCGGGCGGCCACGGCGGTGAAGACCCCTCGGGCGGCCACGGCGGTGAAGACCCCTCGGGCGGCCACGGCGGAGAAGACCCCTCGGGCGGCCACGGCGGAGAAGACCCCTCGGGTGGCCACGGCGGAGACCTACTGCCCCCCCCCCAAAATTTTCTTGGGGGTAGCTACGGGGACATAGGCTGGAGCAAGCACCGGCTCAGAAACAGTCTCCAGCTGGACGTGGCTGACGTGCAGCGCCGGCTCTGGAAGCTCTGCTGAGACGTGACGAGGCTCTGGAAGCTCCGCTGAGACGTGACGAGGCTCTGGAAGCTCCGCTGAGACGTGACGAGGCTCTGGAAGCTCCGCTGAGACGTGACGAGGCTCTGGAAGCTCCGCTGAGACGTGACGAGGCTCTGGAAGCTCCGCTGAGACGTGACGAGGCTCTGGAAGCTCCGCTGAGACGTGACGAGGCTCTGGAAGCTCCGCTGAGACGTGACGAGGCTCTGGAAGCTCCGCTGAGACGTGACGAGGCTCTGGAAGCTCCGCTGAGACGTGACGAGGCTCTGGAAGCTCCGCTGAGACGTGACGAGGCTCTGGAAGCTCTGCTGAGACGTGACGAGGCTCTGGAAGCTCTGCTGAGACGTGGAACAGCGGTGCGGGCTCAGCGGGCATGATGGTCGTGATAACATCCCTCTCTACCTCTCCAACAGTGAAGGGAGATCCACAAAACCGCAGGACAAAATCAATGAACTGCTCCAGGGTCCAACTGGGGTCCTCCTCTGGTAAATTTAAACCAATGTCTAGATCCAGTCCACTCCAGAAACAGTCCTTCAATGCATCTTCTCCATCCGGAACGAGATGGCTATACAAAAGGAATTCCTCCACATAATCCTCGATGCAGCGATTATTCTGATAAAGAGAGCAAAGTTTGCTCAGTGAGCTCTGGCTACTACCTGCTGGATCCATGTTTAGGTGAGTTGTTCTGTGATGCCGGTGCCGTGATGTGGCAGAAACACAGGAAGGAGGCTGGATCC